TATTGTTCAGTGATCCTCTTCTGGGTCTGCTGCCTCTGGATCTATTCCCTTCTACCTTTCCCGTCACCATCAATCGCTCCAGGTTGTTATAATTTAATAATAAGATGATAAAATTGAGACATGGACCATCAAAACCGTTGATATGTAGAGGCCTATCAGTGGTTTTATAAACAATACAGAGCAATAGAAAAGACCAGTGTGGTAACTAGATGTATTTCAGTTTTGTGTCTGATATTCCTTCGTTCAGTTGAGTCTTTGTTGTCTTCGCTATGCCAATGCGTCTACGTATTTTAGTTTTGCAGCTGCTACCACGGATAATAACAGAGCCAAGATACTGAAACTGGTCCATTAGTTTCGATGAACTGATGCAAAACCGTCGGTAACCATTAGGCTTAGTCTTCGATTTGATATTGGCAAAATGCAATGCAATTTCTAGGCTAATAGTTTCCTGCTTGGCCCTTTTTTACTTCGGATGAGGCGAAGAGAGTGGTATCATCTAATACCCATTATTATGCTACCACTGCTTTTAACTCTGGTGCAGTAACCGAATGATGTAGAAGATGAAAATGAATTTATATTTTGGAGTACATTGACACAAAAAATGGCATACGAATAACAAAAAGTAGGTATTCAGAAAGCATAGATGAAGCCAGTCTTTACTAAGAAAACTAGGTTACTAACTTAAATGAAATTGAAGTATGTTGTATATTGTGACGACAAGTAATCAAATCTTACAATTAAACTTGAAGTCTAGTTTTTTAATAATAAAATCCAAAAGTATTGGATACCTTAAAGTATCGATAATACATTCTATGCTTTGTGTGGCATCTATATATTTTGTACAATTCTTATACTAAGTGCAATTTATATATTTTTTTAACAGTAGCGTAACCCTACTAACAATACATACGTTGAAGGTACTTATGACTTGCGTACACTTACCAGAGAAGTGCCAGTCAGGGCGGCTCCATCATTAGAGTAAAGGGACGTGGATTGATTTATGTGAGTTTAAGAAAAAAGCTTACTCTCAGTCACATCCTGGAGCATACCTTGGACTCATATTAGAACACAGTATTTTCGTAATTTAATAAAAAAAAATCGATAACACATAGATGCCTGCGTGATGAACAGTTGAATAAGTTTTACGTGCAGTTAGTTTAATTACACTCATAAATTATACGGTAGGTTTTAAAGTTCACCTGTAACTTACGAATTTGACTATGCATTGCACTATTTAGATTAACTTCTAAAATGAACAGTTTACGTATGCGAATCTTTAATACTACCTTTACAAATAGTTTGATAACTGTAAGCAATAGCTCGAGCAGATCAGAGTCTTATGCATGTAAGTAACTCGAATTAACTAATAGCGGAAATTTGAGCTCCTTTGAAGAAATTCATTATAATGTTCAGTAAAATTTCGAAATATATTTAAGGATCAAATTTCTTTTTCAAACCTAATTCTTGCCCCTAGTTCTCAAAGTACTTCTACTTTGAGAACGTGAACGAATTAAAGTGATTGTACTCGATTTCACAAATACGACCTAACTACGCCATCGAGTATAGTCAGTCTTTACAAAATTTGGTATCTTTAACTAAACGTTGTTGTAACTATTGTCAGATGATAGTCGAATTTAGTAATCGAGTTTATTAACTAAATATAATTCTGTTTTAAGGGTGTTCCCATAAAATATTGAGTTAAGGTACAGGTATAGAAAACAGATACTCGTATATTTAACATATGCGGAGTGTTTGTCAGATTTTTTAAATGTTTAATTAAAATAGATATTCAAAATACTTAATTATAAACACTTAAATTTGAAATGTAATATTTGATATAAAAATTCTTGGTTGTTTTTTACTTTTATGAAATCTATTCAGTGTAGAATCAATGTATCTATTTTTTAAGTGTGTGGAATGTGTGTGGAAAGCCCCTAGAGCCGTTACAATACAGGGGTTTGCGGTTAGGGTGCTTCTGGACGGTGTAAGTAGGTGGAGTGGGCAAAGAAGCGGGTTATATACTTTAGTAGCATGCACGAGTTACTTGCACGTTTGAGGTTAGAGGCAACGAGAAGTGAGAACCATCTCATATGGGTGGGAAAGTGTCAAGCTGTATATTCAAAACAGACGTCGCTAACGTACGAAAAACTACGACGTCGCTAACGTACGAACATAGCTGTTGTAGTCGAAAGTTATTAGTGAAAGTTATTACAGGTTTATTTGTTGTCTTTAAAACACATTGACTACTTTCGCAGTCTAGTATGTATCTAATTATTATTTAAGCCAATTTAAATTTTTTACAATGTTTTTTTTTAATGTTTATTTCTCTATCCTACTCTAACAACTTTTAGCGCTTTCTTTAAAAAAATATCCTTATGCTACTGTAATGCCAACCATTTAACGCATTTTGACGAACACTTTTCATACAGAGATGGTTCTCTTTGCTTGCTACGGGCGGTGTGACGTAATCGAAACGACTAAAACCACACGGTGTGCCACTCTGCACCTGAAATAAAGTATCCGTGGTATCCGGAAACAACTTTTATTAAGACCTCCTAAGGACCCCTCCTAGCGCATACCCGCAATTGCTCGGGTACCACCTTGGGGAAAATTGACTAATTTGGCGACGTCCAGAATGTTGCCTTCTCACGGCTGGCTATTATGGCGGTGGCGCCTACCAGCGCCTTCACCAGCGGCGGTTTACCAGCAGCGAATTGGATCCGAGTGGGGTTTGTCCTCCCAAGCCCTGTCCACCGCTTCCTGTCTGATGACGTCTTCGCAGAAGGATGCGACCGCGGTAAAACATCTGTCGGAACCGATCATGGAGCGTATGACGATCGCTAGCGAGAGATCCTCTCCGGTGACTGCATTGAGGACCAAGTAAGTAATCAAGTGAGAAAAGCAAGTCTATCATTTAATTTAAAAAATTTCAACTGGTTTTGTTGAAAATACATACCCAAATCGATAGACTATATTTTTTGAAAATTGCATTTTTCCAGGAATATCACCTCTCTCTCTATCAACTTCCGTTCGCCTCGTCCGATCACACTTTAAGTAACGCCCTCGTCACGCATTCACCAGCGTACTCCCCAAGTCAAGCGTGCGTAAAAAAGTTTAACTTCAAAAAATTTAATCCAAAACCAAAAAAGACTAGGGTTCTGTGGGTTCAGCCTGCATCGGAATCCAGTTTCGGGGTCACTTAGAGGGTAAGGTCAAAATGGCCTCGAAGAAGCTCGGCTGTGCTGAACAGATCGAGGCAGTATTTCACTCCGGCTCACCGCCTTCAGCTCTATAAGGCACAAGTCCGGCCGCAATTTGAATACTGTTCTCATCTCACACACTCGCACACGCTGACATTATTATAATTTATATTGTAAAACCATTGCACCTTTATTAAGGAAGGCATTGACTCCTAAGATATAGTTTAATTAACCTAGTTGACGATACAGAGCACTTTTCAAAATGTAACTTTGATGGTTCATAAAAAAAATACGGTTTCAGAGAACGCAATAAGAATTGCTTGTTTAAAGCAATACCATCTAAAGATTATCATATCCAAAATTATTAGTAAAATTACTTGTCAATACATTATTAAACAAGAAAAGATAAGTTCTATTTTAATAATCGCATATAAATATCTTTGCGTATATTAAATCTTAAACATCGATAGTAAGTCGAGACTTAGTATCGACAGAGTCCATCCTTAGACTGTGTGCGTTATTGAAGTGCAATTGATAGGCGTTAGTCTTGTGCTTAATCGGACATCTGCAGGTTCGCACCGTACTAGTACCATTCGTACAACGTACTAGCACACCGTAATAGTACTATTAGTACAGTTTTAGTAGAAGTAGAAAACTTAAGCGTTTGTATTGATATTACCAACATTAATGAAACGGAATACTAATAATTAAATAAATAAAAAAAAAGTGTTATAGTTTTTTTTTTAATATAGATGGCTTTGTATTAGGCAGTTACCTTTCTTCAGTATATGAATAATTACACAGTTCTTGATTATTTTTAATGTGTTATCCCTTTCTGAATCCCATAAACCCTAACAGTTTGACTTTTAAATACGATTTTTTAGATTACTTTACACTAAATTTTTAAGCATACTATTCGATTTTCCTTCATACTTTACAACCCAACGTATTGTAATACATCCTGTATCGCTGTCCCTTTTACTTACACTGTTTACCAATACGGAACAATAAAGCGGAGCATTAATAGTACGTCGCACAGCGAACGGACGTAGACACTAGTAGACAGAGTAAACAATAGGTCGTTTTAGTACTGGCTTGAAGTTGACACTGTGTACTAATAGTGCAAAATGTCCGATTAACAGCTGCCTTTCGGAAACATTACTTTTAGTACAATACCCAGTACTAGTAGGTACCTATCAGTACATCGTACGTGTACTACCCAAGACTAATAGGCGTTCCTAAATGATTTAAAGTTGTTTTTAGGGATGGAATTTAATCACAATCATGATTCATAAATCATATTATCATTCCTGTGACTGATTTACAAAACCTACTTTATTATTATTATTACGCCAGTGCAAGAGACTTAGTCTAACAAAAAAGGTAGTAGTAATCTTTGATAAACAGAATTTTGATTGATTTTAATGCCATTTGTCTTTGTCTATGACGAAATCACAATTACATGTTTAAGTTGTATTTCGTTTTATGTCCTGTCCCCCGCTAAAAACGGCAGAAAGATTTTTATAAAGGAAAGACATCAAACGTGGACTCCATTTGGTTTAATGCTCTAAGAGAAAAAGTGATTAATTTACTATAAACAACTGCCAACAATCAACATGCCTCGTCTAGGGAAAAAGAGTTTAAGAGTTGGCAACACTGAACTGTTCTGCCTTAAGTCAAGTCATAGTCATAGAGTAGTACAAGTATTGTAACTATTGTAAGTCGTAGTTGTCAATATATGTTGAAATAAAATCGTTTCGTGAGTTCGTCACACAAATCTATAACTTTAAAGACATCAAAATGGGTAAAGGATTTAATAATTACATGTGTAAGAAATTCTTCCATCCTGCATCAAGGGACAATTTGAAACGAGTATGTATATGGCCATTGTTATTTTATGTTTACAAAGTCTCAAAACATCTGGATTAGAAATTAATGTTATTTTTTTGTTTTTATAGGTATGGATGGCTGAACAGAAGACTGAAGCTTACAAAAAGAAACAAGAGGAACTCAGGCTTCAATATGAAAAAGAACAAGAATTGCATGAAAACAAGTAATTGCATTCTTTTTAATTTTTATTTTTACTATAGATAGTAATCATGTATCTTGATTAACTTTTGTTGTTTTTATTTTAGAGCCCTACTTAGCAAAGACAGTAAGGACAAATTGAGCTTGAATTTCATGTATGAACCCCCTCCTGGTGTTAAGAAAGAAAGAGAGAGGGAAGATAATGAACCTGAGTACAAGTTTGAGTGGCAACGTAAATACAATGCTCCTAGAGAAAGTTACTGCAAAGGAGATAACGAAATAAGAGATCAACCATTTGGTATTTTGGTGCGCAATGTCAGGTGCATCAAATGTCACAAATGGGGTCACATAAATACAGGTATCTATTTACATATATATATCATTTTTATCTTTTTCTTCATATATGGTGTACTCATTTTTACCCTTTTTCTTCCTTTCTAGATAAGGAATGTTCTATGTACTCCTTGTCTATGAGTGAGGCAAGAGCCCTTCAAGCTTCAGCTTCAGCGCCTGAAGAAGAAGAAGAAAAACCAGATGTTCCAACATTGATGCAGCAGATGCGAGACACTGGCCTTGTAATGAAACCTGGAGCGTTGCCGCTTTCAGCTACGAAAATTGAAGAACAGGATAATTCCAGCCTTACAGAAGTGGATCTTATCAGTCAACTAACTAAAAAGCAGAAAAAGAAATTATTGAAGTAAGTTTTGTTTTGTGGAGACTAACACCTTCACTGCTGCCTACAATGTATACGAAATAACCTTAGACGTCTAACTAATGTACGTAGAGTGTGTTTTCAGCACTAGAGTAAATAGTTGACAGAGACATGTGTGAGTATATTAATGCCTTTCATTTTCGTCTATCTTTAAAATATAATACTAATTACAAATTTTTTATTTTATTTTTTATATTTCAATAAAAATACCTTATAAGTTATAATTAAATACAGACTTGCTTTTGACGTTTTTCGTGACTAATGTCATATTAAATAAGACAAATTATTTTTATATTTATTCGTACAACACATATTTGACAAAATAAAAAACCTTTTTGCACAAACAAATGTTCATTGTGTTGCCGTTACGCTACACAGCAGTTGTTTTTTTCAGCACTCTCGTACTGAACACAAGGAGTATGTTATTAGCACTGCTGTAAGTAACACAACAGTTGTGTAGCCAGCACCTGTTGATCGAAATCAGCATTGGAGAAAGTTTTTATAAATACAGATGTGTGTTATCCAACAGTGAAGGAGTTAATTATCATGTCTGTTTAGATTATGGAATTTATTATTTTTTTATTTACAGAAAGTTGGAGAAAATGGAGAAAAAGAAAGATAAGAAACATAAGCACAAGTCTAGGCATGAAAAAAAATAAGTATATGGATGTAATCATTTATGTTATATTGAACTATACATTTAGTTAATCTAAGTTTTATGTATTATGTTTATTTGTGAAAGCTATGTGAATTTAGTGTTAGTTAGATATGCAAGTTGTAGATAAGTGGCTTGTAAATAAAATTAAAAAAGGAAAAACAATAAACTTTATTTATTAATATCACAGTAATTTCAGATTTAAAAATTAAGTTAATATGTCAATACTCTTTACTGATTTCCAAGTCAGGGAAATTGTATTTGTTTCTATATCCTTAATAAAACCTGAAATACAATATTACCTTAATAAAATAATGCATAAGCTTAAATTATGTAAAAACCCACATGTGTTTTGCAATTATGAAGTAAAAAGCTAATTTCTTAAAACCATATGATAAAAAAATAACAGTCATACACTTATTATAGAATAACAAATATATATTATGCATATGTTATGGGCCAAGTTAGTGAGGTGCTTACATAGTTAATACATTACAGCTTTTTAGTTGCTGTTTTTTAACATTTCAATTTTAAGTAAGAAATACATTACCATTTTGGATTGAAAAAATGGTAATTTGTGTATATCTGATAGTAAACAAAATCAATCATCCAGTTATGCAGCAATATTTATAATTTTCAAATTTTGTATTGACTCATAATGACACCATTCCTATTGACAATTATAAATCCATATTGGCCCATTACATATTCATAATATGATTGTTTGTGATTAAATTTTTACATAAGTCTTTTCATCTATCTCTATTATATCCTGTCTATCATTCCTTTCCTTCCAATGTAAGTAAAGTACACATCCAATAATAACAATAATAATAGCAGTTAATACAAACACACTCTTGAGAATTACTTTACTTGGAGTTACAAATAATTGCGCCTTCCATTGTGAAGAGTCATTAGGAGGAGCAGGAATTACTACTATTTGAGAATTTGGAATAATCTGAGTCCAACTCCTAGAATATCCTGAAAGCCCTACATTCAAAGTGTCTACAAAGTTAGGTGTGCGGTCTAAACCAAATATTGAGTAAGGTAATTGTAATGCATAGTAGGCAGATTGTGGCAACTGGGCGCAAACACCTGTTCTGTAAGTGCCTTCCTGTGACCAAGTGTTGTAGCCAATTTTAGGGCCAGGTAGATTTGTACCTGCAAAGATATACTATATTAAGATATTTATTAATGTTTGTAATGTTTTTTTATTTTGTTTTGTTTTGTACAACTTATTTCAGTAAACTTATCAATAGTGGCTTCTTTCCATCCTTGTAACTTGATCTCATCTTTAATCCCCTGCTGCTTTTTTTATTCAGCCATAATTTTTTTAAAAACCCCCATTATTTGGAGGATTATTATTGAACCACTACTAGAGAGACTCCAAACACTGCATCCTACTTGAAACATTGGTGAAATAGCCCTACCATTACATCCAATCTAAATTGAATATTTCAACATTTCTATTAAGGAGAAATTTCTTTTTAAATAGATGACTAGTTGCTACCGGCGACTTCGATAGCGTGGAATATGATAAGCGCTGCGGATCGGGCAAAACTTTAAAGGGTTTTTCTAAGAGGAAAAATAGTCTAAGGTACTCCTTATATAGACAGCTACCCGGTAGTAAAATATCAAAATCGATCCAGCCGTTTAGAAGATAACCCGGAACAAGCAGACAGGCAAGAAAAAATTAAACTGGTTTTTAGGCATAGGTATCATGCAAATAACCATATGAGCATTAAAAAATCTATTATTTTGACATTACAAACAGACACATTTTATTTAAGATAAAGATTGTTCTTGATTTGAGTCAAATGGAGGTCTGTTTAAGATCAGAAGGCCAATTCTCATAATAAAAGTTCGGTCTCAATTCAGTTCCAATCAACTTTCGATCTTATGACTGTCATAAATGGTATTTTTGTAGTGATATAGTAAAGTATTACTAAGACTGTCAGATTATCGATTAAATTTTCAGTTAATACGATATAATCACATTACAGTCAATGTTGTATGTTTAATACTTTCATACAAAACCTTTAATGACAGTGGTGAGATCTAAAGTTGATCGGGACTGAATTATGACCGAACTTTTATTATTGGAATTGGCCTTCAGATCATATATTATAGAGAGTGTAGACACTAGTCGAAAAGGATAGGACTAAGCCCGAGTGCTGTGCAACCATGTTTTTTGGTATAGTGGAGTGAGACTACTCTAGCTTAAGTAGAAATATGTTATGGGTTTACATAACTGAGCATGTAAAGGATAATATATTTCTATCATAACAGGAATGTATAATTGAAATTCAGACTACAAAACAAAGATTTGGTACCCTTTGTAGTTTCATATTTGTCAAGATAATCTTGGTTGATCATGGTTACCAGTTAAGGCAATAAACTTACACTTGATAATCAAAATTATGGGAGCAAAACCAAATCATATTTAAGAATGTTTTACAATTTGATATTTCATAGTTGATTTGATGAAAATAACAAACTACATTTTAAACTTATTACTTACCAAACGTTAGTTTACTTTTATAAAATGTTCTATTGTTGACTGGTGTCTTTTCATTAGTTAAACCAGTCACTACAATCACTTTAATAAAGTTTGTGTCATATTCCAACTCATTTCTGAAAGAATGCATTGTATGTTTTTGTGTGGTCACATTCTTTTTTACATATATTACGTCTAGTACACCATCCATATAAAAATCATAAAATGTTGCCATTACAACATCATTTCCAAAAGAGTCAAATTTGTCCCACTGAGCGTCAAATGTTCTACGGAACTGGCACCCTGGTAAGTCGCATGGAGTATTATGAAGTAGGAATACTTTGGTTGTATTACTGTTAACTGGACTTAATGTCATTAAAATATCTGGATATCCATCCATATTGTAATCTCCACTTCTCATGGTGATCGTATCTAAATAGATTTCATTCTTAGGTGGCACGAAACGCCACAATGTGCCTTTACCATCATTCAAATCCACATGTAAATCGTGCCACTTCTCATTGTCATTTATTAGTATAGTACTATTAATACACTGGGGATCATAACATACTGGTATCACTAAATAAAATTCACCAGAGAGGGCAACATCAATGAATAGGGCTTGTCCATAGATAGCTGGATGGCCTACCAGTAACTCAATACTATTTGTGTATTCAAATCCCTCAAATTCATCATTCAACCATACTTCAACATTTGATGTCGTTGTCACCAACAGATCAGCTGCATTATCATCATTTACATCTAAAAATGAATGAGAATGTGGTAACTTGATTTCTTTCAAAGAGTCTCCACCCATTAACTTTTGTTCAGGTTTTGTTCTTGATGTATCAAATATCCAGAACACTCTCTGATATTGGGTATTCATTCCAAATAGGTCTAGTATCATATCGCGATTATAATCCATAACCAGTGGCTGGCCAACTGTGGTGGCCTTTGTAAACTTAGCATCAGAACAATTTAAGGTGGATTCACCTCCCCACAGAATCAGGACAGAATGAAGATCAGTAAGGACATCGATTCCTTGAGTTGTTAACATTATATCCATATACGCATCTCCATCGAAATCTCCTGGTACGACACTTGTTATAACAATGTCAGTGAAATTACAAGCATAAGCTGAAGGTCTGAGAAATGGCTCCTTATCGTATGCTAGAAACACTTCTACATTCGAATTATTCTTAATAACAAACGCATCTGTTAGCTCATCTGAATTGAAGTCACCGAATGCTGCGATCACACCTTCGTTATATCTCCCAAAGGAACTCTCTGTCATATCACTTATGGCTAAACTGGTAGCAAATAGTACATTTATTATTACAATAATAAATTCCGCAGACATCTTGCTTTGTCTTTACTTAATTTAGAAAACATAACAAAGCCAGGCGTCAAACATATATCGTCACATATTGTCAGTCCACAGTTTTTTGTAAACATTAGGGATGGCATAAAATCACAATAACAAGTTGTAAATCATGTAATTTATAAATCATATCATCGCACCTGTGACTGATTTACAAAACACTGCTTTATTATTATTAGCCTAGCGCAAGACTCGCGAAGTCTTAATCTAAAAAAAAAGAAAGACGTAATCTTTGATAAAAATAATTTTGATTTTAATGCAATTTATCTTTTTCTATGTTGTCATCACAATCACATGTGAAATCGCTGTGACTAAAACCAATCATTAGTTTAATGAATATGATTTAAAAGTAGCAATAATTTCCATGTCTGGAAGGCATGAGACAAAATCACAGTGAACTGTGAAAGACCGGTGATTTATCATTCGATTTTTTTCGTACGTAGGTTGGGGTTACTACTTACTCACGTGTTGTTGCCCATAAGCTGTTTTCAGACGATGCATAAAGACCCTATTAAAATAGAATAGAATAGAGAATTGAATAATCTCTATTGTACACTAATTCAGGATATTATTCATACAATAGTATTCCAAGTTAATGACCATGTACAAATGGCGGCCTTATCGCTAAAAAGCAATCTCTTACAGGCATATTTAACAGTAAATCTAGTAATTATTTTATTATATACAGCTACTATTCCCTACATAATAATTGAAAAAAGTGTGATGGAATTCACACACGGCAAAAGTGAAATCTACGAAAAAGAAATGTTTTATCCCAGTAGAACCCTATAAAATTTTGCCCGGCCCGGGAATGGAAGCAACTAAGGCAGCGATTTTCAAATTCCAAGCGAACGAAGTCGCGTGTACCAGCCAGTATTAAATAAAAAGATAAAAATATTCACACCGTCAAAATATTTTATTAAAATTAATGTGTAATGTATTCTATCTCATTCTCTCGTTGATTTAATCCTATACAAAAATGCGTCACGATAAAGAAGTCACATTTTCGTTTCATCGAATTTCAAATCAGAACGATTCTAAAGAAGTTTCACCTTTAAAAAAATACTAGATTTACTGTTAATACGTCGAACCTAGCAACTCTAACCTACGTACGCCGGAAACGAATGATAAATTGCAGTTCACTGTGATTTTATCCCGTGTCTAGTAAACATTCAATAGCACAGATTAACTGAGTGCGAGCCAACGAGCACGAGCCACGATTGACTTGTCAGTATTGTCACGGTGACAAAAAAAGTTTGTCACTTCACGTCACGTCTCCAAAGTAGAGTGCGGTCGTGCGCTCAAGAAGTGACAGTGGCAAAACTTTTTTGAAATAAAGAGCTGCGATACCTGAAGCGGTTTTTACTTGAGGCTGACAATAATTCCTTCAATGTCATTAAAATCTGTATTGAAGATAGCCATGGAGCCAGGACAGACTTTTCAGATATGCTCGCGTTGTCCTCAAGCATTTGATTATCTATTTTTGCCACTAGATTTGCTTCCACATTGGCGAAGTATTCATTTACAACGTCAATCGACTGAGACTAAAGATTACTAAAGATTAAATCTAGGTCGGACTTAATTGACAAAAGCTCATTCAGCGGCGTTTTATTAGTATTTAGATGAGGAATCATCTTAATATGTGTCTTTAGAATTCTGCCGATGTTTCTCAAATTCAGTTTTTTCATACTGTCGTTTTAATTTTAAAGAAGGATGTTACAGAAATTTCTGTAGCGGACGTAAGTAATTTTGATGGTTTCGAAAAGACGATGCTAGTATTTTTTAGATAGTACAATATATACATGGTGATACATGCACATGGTCAACACTCGATAGTCAACGGATAGTGCTGCCACTAGGTACTTAACACTATCCGTTGACAATTTATTTTATACTACTACGTCAAAGAAAATAAACAGTCATTTAGAATTGCTAATTAGTTAATTTTTAATGATTGTACATGTAAAATTTTGGAGTCGCTCAGCTATTATATTAATGTTTTATGATGCCTAGCTCTGAATATGTCACACTATCCACTGTACAGCTGTCTTGCCGATGGTGACTTAGGGGCTCCTTCTCATATCAGTTACTGGCACGTAGATTGCTATGCCCAAGGCTTTGCACACGTGAATAATTTTAACTTATTTCGTGTTTCTAACTCTTAAAATAACCGCTGTATGTTCTTGAATCAGTGTGTTAGTCAGGGCAAGTAATTTTATTTATATTATTTAGATTAAGTATCTACTATGTACTATCTTCATGGATGACCTGGATGGTACAGTTAGTTTAGTTCACAATTTGATCCAGTCAGTACCAGTTGCGATAAATAAAAAAAAAGAATGGCTCATCGAATGATAATGTTCTAATTAATATTTGAAATGATTTATCATATTATGAATTGTTATGGCTTACCATTCAAACTAATTTTATGAGCACCAACTACTATGAGTGAGCCCACTAAGGGCTTCTTCACACTAGCATTTGCCCAGCGTTCGATAAATGTATGCGCAGCGCAGACAACGCGATAACGCGATGTATTTGACTTCAAAATAGAGCTTAGTTAGGACAAAATCAGGCAACTAATTCTAGGAATATAGTATGTTGTAGATTGGAATAATATAAACCGGATACATTGAATAATGGGACTAACAAATTTGTATCTAAATATACAATTTGACACCCCTGACAGCTCTTTAGTATGTAGTAAGCACCACAATTCCTACCAATCCATATCATAATTGTAGGGCTGCTATACGTCCTGATACACCGGGACATTTCCCGGTCAATAAGTCATTTGTCCCGGTTTGATAGCTAAGTGATTACAACGTCATGACTTAGAATTTTGTGTAATTATTTTTGAACTGAAACTTCTTTAGCACCTTTGTGATTTCAAAATTTATAAAACGAGAAAGCGACGGTAAAAAGAGACAAACATATTCATAAATAGGATTTAGCTTGCGAGAGAATGAGATAAATTACAAGCATACAGTGTTTTCTATAATCTTCGTCTCCTGTATGTTATCACGTGTCTTTGCGCCTGTGTGCAACGAAGTCGAATGATACACCGGGTCACGGTACAATTATAATACAGTACTCCAACTTCATACAAACGGACGAAACGCGAGCTATACCTACGCGCCTCGATCTCGGGGTGCGCTCGGGGCGCAGACAATCACGGCTGTACCGCAGTGTCGAACGGACGGTATGTTGTTTTTTTAACAATAACCGTGCGATTTTTTCTCTAAAAATCAGTTAATATGACGAGTAGGAAATATTGTGCTGTTTTTGGTTGTATGAATTCGTCATAACGCATCCAGACATAAGTTTTTTTAAATTACCTGGAAACTCTGAAAGGTAAGACTATAAAATAATTTTACTTACTAGTAGGTAGGTACATAATGTGTGTCTTTTTAATGGATAAGTATTTCCTTTTATCTCACGAAAAAAAAGGTGTTTGGATTAACCAATAAAGCGAATAGAGTAACGGAAAGTTATTGAGACGAGTGAAATAGGTAGTTATATGCGGTTCTGAATTAATCATGATGCGGTAGGTACCTACCTACTTACGCTTGTGTTAAAACTTCGGTGCATGTGTGTTTTGTTACTTTGCATAATTTAAAGTAAAGACGTGGTATTTTATTATTAATAATATTTGTTTATTATCTGTGTGTATGAATAATACTAGAAATTTGTTTTTACCGTCTGTGTGTCATTAGATAGTTTTCTAAATTTTCACAGTGTTTCTGCTGCTACTGTAACAACATATACCACTAAAAACTGGTTTTATTTTTTCTCGGTATTAACAACAACAGCTAGACTCATATATAATATTTTGATGTTTGAGGGTTGTGATTTTAAAACATTCGTAGTCAGCTGTTCTGCTTTTTAATAATTAATTAATTGGTGACCAAAGAATTGTTTTGAGTTGTTGCGAATTATAGGTAGGTACCTAATTTTTAGAGACGTTAATAAGCTGAGATAAAAAGTTACTTACTCGTCAGATGTTTCTTGCATTCTAGTTAAGTAGGTAGGTGTTGGAGTTTCTAAGGATTGGAGTTTTGTAACGCGTAAGGAGAAAGCACATTTTTTTTATTCTATAGAAGGATTTTTAAGCTATTGCATAGCTTTTATCGCGGGCTGACCGAATCAAGAAATTCTCAAAACCTAACGAAAAATACCTGACACAACGCAGATTTTTTTCTTTTAAAAAATAAAAAAGAGTGCCACATGTATTTTTTTTCAGACGTCTTCAATGGTTGCAACTGATCCGGCGAGATGATTTGGAAAACAAACCTAACTTTAGTTCCTACCAAGTTTGTGAAAAACCCCCACCATTGTTGATGCTGCCAAGCTTAGCTAGTACTGATCCAGGAGTCTCTCTAAAAGAAGATAAACAAACCCAAACTGCTCCGTTGGTAGGAAATGAAAATAGTACACAGACTGAAAATGCAACAAATGAAATCTTTGCTCAAACCTCAACGAGTCTCTCTAGCAACACTCCAACAAAAAGAAAATTGAAACTTGAACTCCTCCAATGCAGAAAGAAAATAAAATAATTAAATCTACCAATCAAAAAACAACACGCATTTTTATTGAACACTTCCCATTCAATATACAAAGTATTTCATTTATTTATATAAAAAGGATATTTACAATCACAAATCTAAATAGAAACAGAAAGTAGGCAAATATAATTAAAATGCTGGAGACGGGCAGCCCTAACGCATGTTTACGTACCGCGCGGCTGTAGGCATTTATTTCTATCATGCGGCCGAGTTACGCTACTGTATTATAATTGTACCGTGACCGGGTTGTCTAATGACACATTTAAACAACCTGGTGTATCATTCTTTTATTGCTTTTGCTTATTAAAATTAGTTGGTTAATTAATTTATGTTAATTATTTAACACATCTGTGTTAATTTGACCAATAATTTTATTTATATAAATTATCAAAAATTAAATTTATTAACATTAGCAAATTATTTGTATTGATTTTACACACAATAATATTTGTGTGTATATTGTGTAAATCACGAGTTTTTTATCTAAACACTTACTTGGTACATATGTTATAGTGACCAAACCTATGTGAAATTGTACAGTTTCAAGTGCTATTCAAGAAAAAAAATTATTGCCTGGATAAAAATCCGGACAACTGCTAGTCGGACCCGCACACCGAGGGTTCCGTACAAATTTGTAGATACTTATTATAAATAGTTGAAGAATCGGGTCTCCCTGTTTTTTTCGAGTCTTTCCCGAAATTCAGTTTCCAAAACCTATAATTACTTAAATTGTGTTTAATAAGTGAAATTGTACCTCGAAGATTGATTACGTACTTTAAATAAAGACTATTTTTATGATTAAATTACAAATGTATAGTTTTCAGATTTCTTCCTGTACTTGTAGCATAAGACGATGTTACTTGCCAAATTTCATAGTTCTAGGTGAATGGGAAGTACCCTATGAATTTTGATTCCTTTGACATTATCGAAATATGCGTTTTTGCGGCATAAACTTAGAAGTTTGATTTGTTCACAGCTTCAAGGGACTGTAGTTCTGAGTACATGGTTTTAATTTCAACTCGATACCTCCACGCGTTTTTGAGATAAAGGGTTTTGATAGACAGACAGACGGACGGACGGACAACAAAGTCATCCTATAAGGCTCCGTTTTTCCTTATGAGGTACGGTACGGTACTTATAACCCTAAAAATGACCCAAGTTGAGGCAATCATGAGTTTTAAGTAATCACTACTTAATTAAGGAATAATAATTACTAATTAATTAAAGACAAAAATATGGCTGTCAAAAAATTTTGTACGTGGGTAAAATGTCTGTTGGATTTCAAATAGAGATTCAATACTTTGAGAAAAATAATTTTCTTTCTACGTGTACGAAGAAAGTTGGTTAAATACTTTTTAACCAACTTTCTTTAAAATAATTTTGTATAGATTTTTAGTACAATAAATTGTTCAATCATAGATTCACAATTGATGCACGCTTCTAAATCTCAGTCCGACCCATCATCATTGATAATTTCAGTAACGTTAAACGGCATTGGGTCTCCCTCGTACCATAAGGAAACAATTTTATCGCTTTCAGCATGCAATTTTATGCATCGTTTTTCAATAGCATTCTGTAACATACTATAAATAGCTCCCAAAATATTCTGTTTCAATGATCTCCAGCATGGCAGCATTCAAAGATTTTCAAGGGCTTATTTTGGGTGCAAAAAACTTTTTGACGTATGAAATATGTTGAATTTCAATAATTTTTTTCGTCAAGAAAAAAGTGATTATTAACCTTCAATAAAATACTTAATTTTTGTTTTTTAGACTCGGACACATGACTAATACAAATCGATCACAACTCAGAGACGCAAACATTGAAATAATAATTAATTTTTCATGTTACTTACCGTATGGCTATTTCTATCTTCATTTGTGTTTATATTGTCACTTCAATAGTGTTTTTGAGGGCCCTGGTAATCAAGAAATCTTTTAACATTGCAAAAAAAAACTTAATTGAACGCAATTAGCTTGAATGAAACGATCAGCAGTGCGACGGTGGCAAGTGGCCAGGCTGGTTCTTCATTTAAATTTTAACTAAAGAAACTGTCGAAAACGAAACTTACTAAACAAGGACAGAAGAGTTTATGCCATTGATAAAAAAATCCCTTGTCTATGAGTTATAATACGCTGTACGCCGTATGGTCAGTTTATTTCAGTTAATGGTATAATGCATGCAGAGTAGACATGGGACAAAATCACAGTGATCTGTGATTTATCATTCGATTTTTGAGTAAGTAGTTCAGGGTTGCTAGGTAGGTAAGTTAAACGCTATTTAACAGTAAATCTAGTATTTCTTTAATTAAGGGAATGGTAGCTATATGTATAATAAAATAATTACTAGATTTACTGTAAAACAGGCGAAATAGGGTCTTTATGCATCGGCTGAACACAACAACAGTAGTAGTAATCCTAACTTACGAACGAAAAAAGCCAATGTAAATCACTGGTTTGTCACAGTTCACTGTGATTATGTCCCATGCCTAATGCAGGACATAGTTCATACTGCAAATATAAATAAGTTTTAGGGATGGCATAAAAGCACTATCGCATGTGATAAATCACATGATATCATCACAACCGTGACTGATTTACAAAACCACTGCTACTTAATTATTATCAATAAGCAAGCAAGACTTGCGAAAGCCCTAAATAAAAAGAGGTCGTAATCTTTGATGAAAATAATTTTGATTGATTTTAATGCTACTTATCTTTCTCTATGACGAAATCACCATCACATGTGAAATCGCTGTCACTAAAACCAATCATTTCATCAACTGAATATGATTTTAAACTAGCAATAATTTCTACGTCTGATAAGTATCTCTATGTTAAACTTGTCAATGTTGTCATTGTCAGTCACATAAAACAAATCGTCATTCGTAATGGCGATTAAAATTAGGGTATAAATTTGATTTCAGCTTTCGACTTATTCTCTAAACCTATTTAAGAGTACTTTATAACGAAGTCGAAAAAATCCTTAAAATTTAACTATTTGATAACTTCCTCATTGAAAATGGCTGACGGTCTTCAAATACTGAGACGAAATCGACCCGGTTCTAAAGCAAAGGTGTACAATACTACAATCTATCATTACAGATCGAAAACAAACAATATAATTGTTTTGAAGAAACTTAATTTTATATTTATTTTTTATTTAAGGAATTTTGTCGTTGGCCTGATGAACCGTTTGAAGAAATGGATAGTACTCTTGCTGTGCAGCAATTTATTCAACAGACTATTCGACGGGATCCTTCAAACCTAGAAGCTATATTAAAAATGCCTGAAGCACAAGATGAGGGTGTTTGGAAATATGAACATTTGAGGTATCAATTTTTTATGTTCATGTAACGTTGATTCAAATTTGTAATTTTTAAAAACATCGTCTTATTATTTTTTATTTATTTTAAATGGTGAAGGGCAAACGAGCAGATGGGTCACCCTATAACTAAACATAACTTATAAATTGTAGTGTATACATAAAACTTTGTATGTGTATGTAACTTGTTTGACAATACTATAAATTAGCATCTTGGAGTTCATTTGATAATAGAGCCCTTACGTTGATAGTTGAACTCGTCAGTGGCATTACTAGTAAACGTCTTGAGTTTGGGGTTGTTTAGCAAGTGCAAGAGATTTATAATAAACCTTCTTTCTTAGGAGAGGCCAATGTCCAGCACTGGACTATTAGAGACTGTTGATGAATGATGACTGATAAAGAAGCCAATAGTGGCACTTCTGTTTGTTTTATAAAATAGTTTTTTGTTTTACAAGCTCTATGGTATTTTTATTTTTAAAGACAATTCTGCATGGAGCTAAATGGTTTAGCAGTGAAATTACAAGCTGAATGTAAGCCAGAAACCTGCACACAGATGACTGCTACAGAGCAGTGGATATTTTTATGCGCAGCACATAAAACACCCAAGGAGTGCCCTGCTATTGATTATACTAGGCATACATTGGATGGAGCGGCTTGCTTGCTCAACAGCAATAAATATTTTCCCAGCAGGTATGTATTATATATATCTCTATTATATTTATGTATGTATGTATATATATATATTTTTCTATTGTGATGATGTAGTAACTTATTTATTTTTTATTTTTTTGGTTACAGGGTTAGCATCAAGGAGTCTTCAGTAGCAAAGCTGGGTTCAGTCTGTAGAAGGGTTTACAGAATATTTTCCCATGCATACTTCCATCACCGGTCTATATTTGATGCATTTGAAAAAGAAACTCATTTATGCAAGAGATTTACTTACTTTGTTACAAAATACTCAATCATTTCAAAGGAGATTTTGATTTTACCCAAACTCGATGATGAGACACCTGTTGGGGAATCAGAAGCCTGAGGCTTAAAGAAATAATTTGGCTGAGCATTGTGAGCCAAATTATTTGAAATTTGCTGACTGTAATAATGTGTACTGATGTAATGTCACATTTTCTTGTGATGACTCAATGTAAAAAAGAATACCAAGTGTACATGACAATGATTTAGAAAAATGTCAAAGTGCTTACTCATAAATTATGTTCTGATGTTGTAATTGTATTAATTAATAGTCTTTCTTTTTAATATTTTCAATCATTATTGTGAATCTTCCTATATAATTATAAGAAAGCCTATCACTATATAGTCCAGGCAACCTTGATATCAATACACTAATCTATCAAAATGATTTCAAAATAAAATCATTTATGTTGAATTTGTGAGTCTGGCTGGTTTCACTTGATGAAATGGTACCAAATTATAACTACATGGGATTCAGTGGCCATTTCTGCAGGTCTGGTGTGGCACATTTATATACCTTGAGCACATTAACAAAGCCTTATTTTGTCCAAATTTATGGGCTGTGACAAAGAAACTACTTACTTATACCCCATTTGAAAATCTCTTCATGATACATTGAAAATATTGTCATTCATTGGATTGTCTGTTGAATATTGTATTTGAATTTGAATAAGTGGAACTTAGTATTTATTGAGAACTATAATAAAGTAGCAAACATGTTCTCTCAATATAACGTAGAAATTAAAATATCACATTAATATAATTATATAAACAAATAAATTTTGTAGTTTAATGAATATTGATCTATGTGTACAGATCAAAGATCAAAGGTAGTGCTCTCAAAGGTGTATTAATTCTATAAAGTTACATGTATTCCTCTTTTTATTTCTAAAGTAGATTTAAGAAAAATTGTAAGTTCAAGTTATAATCTCAAACTTTATCAAAATGTGTGCACAATAAAAGAAACAAGAAAGTTATAAATTATTTTTTTTATGTTTAAAAGGTTTTTTAGATTTGTAAGGCTGATGCTGCTTGGAGTTGCTGCTCTGATCCTTCTGCCAAAATTTCCTTCCTTTAAGACTTTGATACCTGGTGGTAGAAAACAGATTATTAATTTTTAACACATGACATTTTTTTTATGACAAAAGGGCAGATGGGTCACCTGGGCCTCAATTCTGCTATTTTATGTCAATGTAGAAGTCACTGTCATTCCATTGACGTGCTGTTGAGATGCAATTGTCTTTTAAATACTTGAAATTTGTGAAATTGTGGTTACACTACACAACGCCATTTATCAAAAGTTAAAGTTGAGGTGCAATTGAGACGCCACTGATATTGGTCAAAATGTCGGTATTCTACTAGCATAAATGTAGTGACAATGCCTCATCAATTGTGTTATCAACAACATTGCCATATCTGGCAAATTAAATATATCATTTCCTTACAAATTTAAAATGTACCGTTTCCCAAACTATTATAAAGACATCAACAACAACATTTGTAACAGTGGCAAGTCATCGGGAGGCCATTGTTCTTTCATAGTTAGTAGAATACGAAAAGTGCAAAAAGTACTGGGACGAAATTCCATCAACAGTCTATTGATACAATAGAATTGAATTGGGGCCCAGATGGTAAGTGACTATCCTCACCCATGGATCTCAAGAGTCACAATGCGTTGCTGCACTTTGAGTCTCCCTTCTCAGAATCAGGGATTTAGAACCCTCCCTGGGTTTGGGCTAAGCATATGTTATGGCAAAACAGATGAAATGTAAAATAAACCAACAACATTTGGCTTGATTTCGATTATTACTAGATATAATAATGATAACACACATCACACACAGTCATCTGCTCCTAAACTATGCAGAGGCTATATTATGCTAACCAGAATCCAATAAATATACTTATATATTTCTAAACATACATATTATAGGTAAATTACACCTAGGCACAGAACAAATATTGATCATGGGCATCACACAATTATTTGTTCCGTGTGTAGTGATGGATTAAGAATACAGAAAGATTTGGGTGTAGTAAGAGCCTACTAAGGGCACAAAACAATGCAGGACACCAGCAATGCAAAAAGAAGGAAAACTTGACACAAACCCTATACCAACCCGGCTGGCCAGCATGGTATAGTAGGCTAAAACCTCCTTTCTAAGGAGAGGCCTATGTCCAGCAGTGGACTATTAAAGGCTGTTGATGTGATGTGATGTGATAGGAATCAAACACCTAACAACCTCTAGCTTTGCTATGACATATGCAGAAACTTACAAAAATTTTGTTTGATAACTTATTATAAACTTAAATTAAATTATGACCATCATATTATAACTAAAGCTTACCCGATTTGGGTGATATCTGGGATATCATCGAGTGACAGTAATATGTGTATTATAGGTACTTGTCTTTTTACAACAAGTGTTTCTAAACCCTCTAATTTAGGCTCCCAATACTCCTCCACACTGGAAGAAAACATCAATGATTTATCAAAGATCTCACTTAAATTTGATACATAAAATGTAAACAGAAGATATATAGAACAGTGAAAAGACAGTTCATGCTTCCGAGGTATAAGGGCTCAATGTGACTTGTATAGTACATATTATACATCAACTGCATGGATAGAGTAGTAGTTTAAGTGGTCTTCCAATGGACTTTGTGTGATCCACAAATTGTTGTTCTGAGTCTGGGTGTTCTTTATGTCCATTTCATGTATGTTTGTCCCCCACGATACAGGATTCCTAATCCAGGAGTTTTTTTTAAAGAAAAACAGAAAGAAAGATAATAATAGATTCTTATGCTTCAGGTAGGTGGCTAAGTGTCACGCATACGCACGCCTAGTGATACATGCATGAAATGTACTTTTATATTTGTATTGATGCTTACGTTTTATAAGTGAGCTTAGTAACTTGATGTGGAATTGAAAATTGCTTTTTTAGTATCTCTGCACACGATATAGCTTTAGGAACAGCAACACCAGCTCCACTCCACACTACTGCAGTTGAGGATTTATCTTCCAGAATACCTGCTGCGTGTGATATTAAGTTCGACATTTTACTTCCACCTTTTACCTAAAATTATACAGTATCATAGAAAGAGTAACTTAATCTCCACAGTGCATTTTTCTAATCATTAGAAAATATCTGATGTATTGCAGAGCAACCTACTTGCATCCATAGGAAATTTTGAGGTAAATCTTTTATGGGGATTTTGCTGCGTTCTAGTTCTTCTTCAACGTTTTTTCCTTTTGTATAGTTTTCCATTTTTAAATAAAAGACACGACAGATTATATCTTATGGTATACTTCATAAATTAAACTGATCTACTATGCAGATAACCTCTTACTACACACATTTGACAAAACAAAACAATTAATTTTTGATCTTTGACAAATAATCTAAATAATCCAACAGAGCTGCCAGCTTACAGCTACAAACTACTACTACTGCTACGATGTTTTCATTGCTTACCAAAGGTCTTAGTCTGGGTTTTTAATAGAATTTTATTGATCATAAAATAGAAAAAAGTCAATTACCTATTAAAATAGAAAATAATCAAAACGAGTAAAATGTTTAGACAGTGTTGTTATACACATCCTTTCTTACAACAATATTCCATTGACTGATGACATTAGAATAATTGTCCCTCTATAACTTTCCTGCCCTGTAGAACAGGCTAACGAAATTATACAATGTGCCATCATCATCATCAACAGCCTTTAATAGTCCACTGCTGGACATAGGCCTCTCCTTAGAAAGGAGGTTTTGGCCTACTATGCCACGCTGGCCAGACGGGTTGGTATAGGGTTTATGTCAAGTTTTCCTTCTCTTTGCAGTGCTGTTGTCCTGCGTAGTTTGCTCCCTTAGTCGCCTCTTACGACACCCACGGGATGAAAAGGGGTGGCGACACTCCGTATTCTTAATCCGTCACCACACATCCGTCCATGGCACATGTGGTGTACGGACAGTAAACCACATGTGCCATGGATATCGGAATTTTCTTGCTGAAATAGCGGAAAGTTGGTGCTTTTATGGAATCTTGTGCTCCAAATTTAAGAACAATTTATGTTTTTTTTTTCTAGCGCATTCAATATTCTGTTATTTAGCTGACTCGTGTCAGAAGGCTTAGACGAGCATATCGTCATTTACAAGGACCAATTGGTTGGTAACATGAATAAAAGATTTTTCTCTGTACTTGTATAGAACCTGTTCCTTGAAAGATAGCTAGCTTTATGGTCAGGCAAACAAGGCAAAAATGGATTAGGATAGGCCGTTTTATAGGGGATATGGCAATGGGCCGTGATTTTGTACCATTATTTTGCAGCCACTTTCTCTTTGTTTATTGTTTTTTTTTTTCAAATATAAGATCCGATTACTTATAGAAAAAATATCTCTTTCGGAATCTTAAAACATTTCTATATTTTTATGATACGTGTCGATTTTTATTAAATTTTTATTCAAGGCTCAAATCGGCAGTCGTTGGAACTGTGCATTTCACAATATTTTTCCAAAAACCACATACACAAACTATTTTAGTCTCAATTAAACTTACATAAATCTAAAGTAAATAATAATTCGATAAAAGAAATAATAACAGTCCAAGACATTTTCCGTTTTAATTTACGCGTATGACCGTGAATTATGACTGCGCACTGCCTGTACACAGTTCCAATTTATTTGTGTTATCTGATCATGAATTGATTGTTTTGTTGTGGTTTATTTTGAATAAAACTTACTTAGTTGATGCTGCGCTATGTTAGCTGAGCCGGAACGACCGGAGTGATATCAACGCCTTACAGAAAACCGATGTTAAGTAATTCTATCGTTGCTTTTCACCAAGAGAGTTACCGGAGCCCAAATCCCTCTTTCTATCGATTCTTAGCGGCAACACACTTGTCACACGTTTGTTTAAGGTATACATGGGCGGCGTTAGTCACTTACCATTAGGTGACCCCTCTACTCGTTTGCCCTCAGTATTCTCTAAAAGAATACAATCTAATGAAATTTGGAGATATTTTGCTTTGATATAAAACTGGCACACAATAATATTATTTGCTGCTTGAAGATCCAAAGGTTATCTCTGTAACGTAAGTGCGTTACACAAGTCATGGCTAAGCAGTTATCGCGTCAAGTCAATACTTAAAGTATTTGAAGTTTGCGTCTCCGGTAAATTGTCGTATCTGCTGTTATATGGAATTATAAATAAATAACATAATGGCAAAACTTTTAAACTCAATTTTTCTTTTTTGTCTATTTTTCGCGGTAACTAGTGGATTGCCTCGGAAAGGAAAGTTCATTATTGACGAGCGTCATGTTTGTGTCGTAAAAACCTCATGTGTGGATTGTTTAAGGTTATCCCATTGTTCCTGGTGTCCTACAGAAAAAAGATGCTTCTCAAGACAATTGGAAACATTTAAAACGTTCTGTTCTAATGATACTGTTAACCATGAGGACTATGGCTGTAAGTTTGGTATTGTATTATAATTTGCGATCACTAAACGCACTTCATTAATAGGTAAGCGTAAATTCGTTTACATTGATTTTTAAAGACTCTACCGCGGTGATAACACTTTATGCTAATGGATGATGGCACGAATGTAAAGAAAATTAAGCCAATCTAATATAGAAAAGCAATATATTAGAGTTACTTAAATTTAATTTCAATCAGAATCATCAACAGCCTTCAATAGTCCACTAGGACTCCCCTTAGAATGGAGGTTTAATCAGAACAGTGTCGACAAATGACAAGTATACTCGAAATCTAGGAATCAGAGCCTCATAAAAATATGATTTCAGGTTATAAAAAGAACTTAGTAAAATAAATGAGTTAAATAAACATTTAAATATTCACGAAAGTAAGCAAATTTTAAACTAAGGACTCGGATCAAAATAACTCTGGGGCCAACGAGCCTCAATGTTGCTCGCGGGCCAGATCTCTACTGTACAACCTCCAAGGGCGTTGTTACACTGCATTTAGATTTAAAGTTATTAGATCATAGACTTCGTTTTCTCCACGTCTTGTCACTTTTATACTGATACTCAAACTGGAAAACTACTTTTTTAAATGTTATATGGGGCAAACGAGTAAACGGATCACCCGAAGGTAAATGGTAAGTGACTATATCCGCCCACGGACACCTACGACTCAATAGTCACAAGTGCGTTGCTGCGTTTATTTTTCCTCTCCCCCATTAGGGTAAAGAGGGTTTTGGGCTTCAAGAACCTCATTTACTTGGTGAAAAGCAACGAAAGAATTGCTTAACCCAGCGTAGCGAGGTGGCGTTCCATCGCCGCGGGCGGCGTCTTGATTAAGCGGCAGGTGGGTGGCAGGAGCTCCACAATGAATAGTTAATCGAGAAAGAAAAAGAAACTGCTCATACTCACTACCTGGAGTGTGTGGTAGTGTTTAACTTTAAAGTATCAAAACAAATTGTATGGTAGATGATTTTGTATGTATGATTGTATGATTCTCGCACGTCCATGTAGTTGACCGACTGAAGAGATCAGCTATGTACTGGTGGAACGTTACAAGTCAACTGCACGGATGGCGTAGTGGTTTAAGCGGTCGCCTAGCCGCTTACTACTGCGCCGAGTGTTGTGGGTTCAAACCCCACGTGGGACGACACTTGGTGTGATCCACAAATTGTTGTTCTGAGTCCGGGTGTTCTTTGTGTCCGTTTCATGTATGTTTGTACAGTCCGGGGGACTGTACAAACATACATGAAACGGACACAGGATATATTCCTAATGCGGGAGTTGTCTTTAAAAAAAAAGTTATGTAAATAAAGAATTAATGTGTCAAACTGTTATTATTATTATATTTCTTTTCTATTTTCGTAGAGCTAAAAGCGAGCCAGCACATTTAACAGTCAGTTAAAACATGGCCCTCCCGCCCACGGTTACTTATGATTATGTATGACTATAAATAAGTGTTGTCATTCAGTATCATTTAAATACTTAAGTTTTCCATTAATTTTATAAAATTTAGTGACAAAATTATATGAATGAAGTAACAATGTATTACATATATATGTTATATATACCAATGTATTATATTCCGCACTACAACCGAATCATATAATTTATCTCTTTATGGAACTAAACAAATTTTATCATTTATGAATATTTCAAAGTTTAATAAATTAGAGTTGCAATGGAAGGAGTTAACATTAGTTTTTAGTGGAAACATTTTGACGGGCCTGTCGATCTAGTGGTTAGTGACCCTGACCGCTAAACCGTTTGTGGGTTCGATTCCCACCCAGGACAAATATTGTGTGATGAGCACTTGTTTTGTGTCTGGGTGTAATTTATCTATAATATGTATGTATTTAATAATATATAAGTATGTTTATCAGCAGTCTGGTTACCATAGTACAGGTTCTGCCTAGTTTGGGATCAGATGGCCGTGTGAGGTATATTATTATTATTATTTTTAAAACTTGCAATAAGCGATCTGATTTTCGATTACAGTGAGCTTAGAGGGAAATGCTGTATGCTCCTGCAATCGCGAAGAAATAGAAGAGAATTGCTATCCTCCAGGAGTGACTTCGGGACCAGTATGCTCTAGCCGTGGTTCCTGTGTTTGCGGCCAGTGTATGTGTAACACTGTCCCCGATCCTAAAGAACCGACTAAGGTGAGGAACGTAATAGACAGGTACATAGTAACAAAATGAAGAAATGTGTGTTCAGCTGTTATTCACATCACATCATCAACAGCCTTTAATAGTCCACTGCTTGACATAACCCTCTTCTTAGAAAGGAGGTTTTGGCCTACTATACCAAGCTGGCCAGACAGGTTGGTATGGGGGTTGTGTCAAGCTTTCCTTCTCTCTGCAGTGCGGTGCGACACTTACGGGATGAATAGGGGTGGTGACACTCTGTATTCTTAATCCGTCACATATATTCATCCGTCATATATTTCACATATATTCTATTAAAAACGAACATGTTGAATACACCTGAAAAACATGGATTCACAACAAAACACAGAGATAAAAAAATGTATGGGTATAATGTTAAATAATTCAAAACATGCTAAGAATATCTGGAATAAAAAGTTAAGAGAAAACGTATTTTTTACATGGACATATGTTCGTATTTCTCCCGCCTTCTTTTTCGTTATGGGCATTATGATATCAGAAGAACTGTAGAAACACTACGTATTTTCCATTTAAGTTTTTTTAGTTAACATCTTTATTTTTTTATTAATAGTTGGGGTTTTTTGCAGACTGTGATGGGAGAGTTCTGCGAGTATGACAACTTTTCATGTGAAGGTCCAAGATGTAACGAAGGGCCATATTCAATAAGTGCTCCAAATGGTGTTGAAGATGGCTCAGCAAGGGCATTAGAAGTTGAAATACCGGCTACGTAATACAAATGTGTCTCTTGAACAGCTCTTTTTGAAAATACAATAATCAAGAAAGTCAATACATACATAATTAGTCCTGGTGAAATACATATTCTGTACATATAGTTATATTTATCTCTTACATAGCTGGTAAAAACCCTTATGTAGTGTGGCCATGAATACATACCGTTTTTGAAACGTGTCAAAACGGGTCACCATCATAGTTTCGCTGTCGTTGTATTTGAATTGCACCAAGAAAAATGCCAGGTTGTATCATACTGGTCCTATGAGGAGGTAGGGCACTTAGAACTTGCTGCAAAATGTTTGTTATTCATCGCAATTTCTTTTATCACCTTCTAAGTATGCTCCTTCAGAAACGATACACTTCACCGTCAACGAATAATCCAATCATCAAAACATTTTTTAAGCGCTGTTTCCGGAGTTGTGTTCAGTTCTCGCCGCGAATTCTCCTTTATGTCTTGTACCGATTGAAAACGGGTGCCACGAAGTGGTAATTTGAGCTTAGGAAAAATAAAGAAGACGGCTGTAGCCATATCTGGTGAAAATGGTAGTTGCTCGATGGTATTTGTTGAGCGTTTGGTCAAAAATTCGTTCATAGTGATGGCCTTGTGGAGGACGCATTATCGTGGTGCAAAATCCAAGAATTTCGTTCCACAAATCTGGAATTTTTCGTCAAATTTGCTCTCTTAAATTTTGCATAACGCTCAAATAATAATCTTTATTTACCGTTTGACCTTCCAGCAAGAATTTCGAGTGCACAACACCGCAATAGTCAAAGAAAACAGGCAACATGACTTTGACTTTAGATCGACTTTGGCGTGGTTTTTTCGGTTTCGGTTCAGTTGGAAGGCGCCACTCCGAAGCTTGTTGACTAGTTTACATGTCAAACTCGTAAACCCACGTCTCTTCACCAGTAACAATTCGTTTCATGAATGTTGGGTCGGAATTGACTCGTTCTAGCATGTCCTCAGCGACTCTCATGCGATTGAGTTTTTGGAGAAAATTCAGATCTTTTGGGACTAGGCGAGCGGTACCATGTTTCATACCCAAATCATTAGTTAAAATGGTACGGATCCACTCGTGAGAAAGTTCGGCGGCTATCTCTCTCAAAGTTGAATGAGGATTTTCAGTCACTATTTCCTTTACTTTTGCGATGTTAACTTCAGTTGCAGACATTGATGGCCTGCCAGAACGAGGCAAATCTTCCATCACATCTCGACCGCTTTTGAACGATTTGTACCACTTATAAGCACGTGTTTATGATAAAGTCGATTCACCGTAAGCCTTCTGTAACATTTTCAGTGACTCCGAACACGAAATTCCATTGGCGATGCAAAATTTAAGACAAACTCTTTGTTCGATGTTTTTGTCCATTATGAAATTCGTAATACACACTAGATATGATATAACTAAAACAGCACTGTATTTAATATCAATAACAGATAAAACTCAAACTCCGCGCCAAAATGGAAAACAGTTGTGCCAATCTAACAACAACAAAAAAACAAAAATTTGATTTTGGAACCATAAACAAATCATCCATTCCCGATACTTTTTTGACTGAATGTACATATAATTTAGACAGTTTGTCTGACGAGTGACTTTTTTAGTAGTTATTCTACTAAAAAACTTTTTTAGTAGAATAAGTGTTTGTATCAATTTTTTTTATTCTGATAATTAAATTATAGTACATAGGTTACTTAATTCTAAACTCGCCAAACTTTTACGTTTGAAGGCGAGAAACGCTCTCTCACATAACCATGATTCACCCCGTATTCACTTAATATTGGACACAATAGTACATAATATAGTAATATGCATATAAACTCATGATATTTTGTTATTACTTTAGTACTACCCTTGTAAGTAAGAATAATATGTATGTAATATATGAATTAAATACTAACACTACTTATATATTAATTTTTTTTGGTTTAATTTAATATAATGAACACTTATTTATTTCTAGTCGCAATCCTGTACAATGTTTTTTAATTTTGTCCTAAGTGACCCTTTACTAATTTTTATTTTTCTCTTAATAGATCTATTTTGTTAAACACTTTAGGTACTAAATACTTAGATGTTCTTTTACCATAATAATTTGTTATCCGTGGTTGAACCAGTTTGTTCTCTCTAACCTATGCACCTACCGACTATTACTTTTCCCAAAATTTAGACAACTTTTTAGTGGGTAAAAAATTCAATTCCCGAGAGGCAGTACAAAATGCCTTTAAAGAGTTTGTTGCCTCCCGTCCAGCTGATTTTTACAAGAAGGGCATCAATAAACTGCCAATGCGTTGGCAAAGATGCGTCGATTGCATGGGTGATTACTTCGAATAACAGAAATAAAAAGTTTGAAAAAATAAGTACTTTCACTTATTGCATACAAAACGGCAATTTCATAGGTAAAGACCTATTATATATTTTTTGTTTTTATTGTTTTAAAAGTTTTTCGTATATTTGCGATTTAACAATTTAATGTTATTATTACTCTCTTTATTTACTTGATCTACACATTATTTACATTTTTAAACATACACTTTAAAAAAACTAATTAAAAATACATTTAAAAATATAAAATAGTAGACCACCGACATCGGGTACAGGGACCAAGACACCGGTGGTTAGGACTCCAAAGATAGGAACCTACTCACTATACGAGCCGTGTCAAGGAGGACTGCCTTCTGCATCAGACCCTTGATCCAGCCGTCCAGCGTGAGCCTCTTAAGGTTTTGGTCGAGGCTCTTGGCTATCAATCCGTGAGCAGATATGACTATCGGAACAATGATCACCGAATCAACATTCCACATATCGACAATCTCGTGAGATAAATCCAAATATTTAATTTGTTTTTCTTTTTCAACTTTCACGAGATTTTCGTCATGAGGAACGGCGATATGAACAATCATTGTGCGGCGCTCTAATCGATTATTATTATTAGTTTTAATATGTATTCTATTATTAAGAAAGCTTAAGCAGTAGAACCCATGTCTGTCCATACACTTACATATAACTAGCTGAGACCCGCGGTGTTATCCGCGTTTGTTGTTATAACCGCGGGCAACGCCGCGGGGCGAAGCTAGTCTAAAAAAAGTAGCCTCAGTTACTCCTTATGTCATCAGCTATCTGCCAGTGAAAGTCCCGTCGAAATCGGTGAAGCCGTTCCAGAGATTACCCGGAACAAACAGACAGACAGACAAAAATTGTAAAAAATGTTATTTTGTCATATGTACCGTGTAAACATACATAATATGCATTTAGTAAAAAGCGGTTATTTTAATATTACAAACAGACACTCCAATTTTATTTATTTGTATAGATGTTGTCCACAAGTGGAAACTTGTCATTGGCTGACAAATTGTTATATCATTCACTGAAATGTTTTCTTAGCTGTAAGTCTTCCAAGATCGTTAAATAAATAAATAAATAAATATATATATATATATATCTACTAAATACGATATAAATGTTGTACCTAATACCTACATATACATAATTATTATAATGTATACCTATTAGCAGTTATAAAAATAGTCATCTATATTTTAAGTCAATATTGTAAGAAGAATATACCGAAATCCTATTATTATTTAAATTCAGTCGCAGATAGGTAGGTAGATGGTGATGACAATACCGTGAAGTGAAAAGTTCTCAGAAATTCTTTATAGTCAGCTATGCTTAGTTATGTCATGAAAAATGCTCGGGTAGATAGCTGAGCGCCATCGCGGTACTGTGGAGCCAATGAGGTTTTAAGAAGAAGCGTTCAAGCGAAGAAGCCGCGCTCAATTAAGAAATTGATATGAGTTGGGCGTCTGTCGCGGATGGCTCATCGGGCTCGAGTGCCTGCCCGTTATGGTTACGCGAAATTAGATTTCAACGAGTCTATTTTCTCTTCCACAACGAGTTCACCTTTTATTTTCTCGATATTTATTGAACGTCTGCCTCGAGATATCGTAGTATTAATTCTCATTTCTAGAGTATGTTTATTAATGGAGCATTATAAAAGAAATCATGTTTATCTATTTATATATATTTAAAAAAATGATAAGTTGGTTTGTGTACGCTTCAAAAACTCAAAAAGTTTTGAACCGATTCAGCTCAAATTTTGATACGATATACAATCTAACCCGTTTCAAAGATTTTATCTATTTTTAGCGTCACTTTTCTTCCTCGTTTCTCATCAACGCAACCACAATGTGCTAAAGCTCTGTATCTGTATTGAGCAAAGCTCACAAAATAGGTGTTAATGTTAAAGAACTTTTCGTAAAACAATGTTCGAGATACTAGCTATTAACTGACCTCAAATTGATTTTATACTGTTTTGAACTAGCTTAATATGCTGTTGGTAACTAATGGTTTCTTAAGTGTTGAAATAATAATAATATCATTTATTGTTTTCTATATTAGTTGTTTATTTATGTTAAGTACAACGTACAAGCTACAACAAGAGTACACCACGGGTTGAAGAATCTTCTCGAACCCACGGATGCATAAATACTTAGGATATATATTTTTTATTGTCAGAACAAATATTTATGCTCGGTAATATTTTTATTGAGCAAAAATCAAACTAACTAACTTTTGCAGTGGACGAATTTGTGGAGTGCTCCACAAAAGTACTCCACGTACATTTGTAGAACACTGACCTTATTAATTGTTGTTCTGGGTCTGGGTGTTCTTTGTGTCCGTTTTATGTAGGTAGTAAGTCCCCCGCGACATAGGATGTATTCTTACTGTGGGAGTTTCTTAAAATAACTGAATCAAGAAAATGTGTCTTGTGTTTAGTAATAGACTTTGTTAGCAATTTGTCCCCTGTTTATGTCGATTTTAATTATTATTAATTTTAAGGGATAAATAGTACCCTACGTCCAATACCACACTGTTGACTCTATAGCAGTAGCCAGACTTAGGTCAGCATTCGTAAATCTCTCTATAGTATTTAAAACAGTATCATCTCAACACTGTATTTTTACCTTCATCTACTGTCGTACTAAGTAAGTAAC